ACTTCAGGCTCAAACAAAACGATTTCAGTCGAATAAATATTTGCGATTACGCTCCTTAGCGAATAAGCGAGAATGTTAACTGTTCCAACTGCTTAGAGTGCCGGTGTTGTTGAAGACAATGATGCCCGCGAAAGTCTTTTCGCGTTGAATTTGAAAGCATTTCTCTCGAGCTATCTGACTATCTAAAAAAGGCTGTCGTTAGGCGGAGGGCCTCTTGAGCTAAAGTTGCAAACAAGTCTGGAACCAATTACCGACCACGGAGGGATGGAGGGCTTGCTTGGCCGCGAGCAACGTAACACTCAGGATTTGCGCGCGTGGTAAGCAGCGCCACCTTCCACTAAACCACTTCCTCTGGTTTTGTAGAATATCTACTTCAAATGTAATAAATGTAATACTATGTCCTGCGGAACTTGGGCTGGTTTCGGTTTCAACCGTTTCGTGGAATATCTACTCCAGTTTGTGCAGTGTTGGTTGTGTGATGCTTGCTCGAGCCACTTGGTGAGAAAGGGTCGATCTTTTCATGATGATAAATTTTGGGCACATTAGTTGGTGGTGTATTTTTCACATTTCGTTGAGGACAGCTCACCGCTCTACTGGTTCTCGCTGATCTGGGCTGCTTACAGACAACAAAACAGTTATCACAACTTTGTTGTGTTTGAGGTCCTGTAAAAGTCCACTTTTTTCCGAAGCGAACTCCATGCAATAGATGTGGAACAGATTAATAGAATAAATAAATGAGGAGACATCTCGAATAGTTTGGGCTGACGGTGAGTCAGAGAGGGATGCTGCTGCGGGCCTACGAGGGTCCGAGACGAAGGGCCGAAGGGCGTCCTTGCGGACAGAGTGCTTGCTCAGCCGACAAGAGGGAAACGATCTCACACGGGACCTACCATTCTTTTATACCTTACCTCGGGCCCTCCTGATCTCGGGTGGGCTACTTCCATCGCGACCACTTGCTTGTAACCTTCTGACCCCTTGAGATCGTATTCTTTTGATCTCCACAACCTTCATTTAGTCTGTTTTACTTTTGGAAAGTCTTACGGGGTTTGATCGTGACAAACACCTTACCTTTCGACGAGATATATCTCTTCTTCTTCGATTTCCGAGCTCATCGTGGAATCCTTCTTTGAAATGGTTGTAATGCGGTAGCAGTTTGCTCAAATTTAATTCGAAATAAATTATTTGAAATTTCGCGAAAAAATGCAGAGCTGTTCAAAAGACCTACTAACTGTAAAACTGTAAAATTTGTGTTACTGAATGCTTGTGGCGTTCGTTTCAAATGATTTCACTGAAAAAACCTTTTCTGTACTATTCATTTCCAGTTTTTACATACGATTTTTGCTTAGCTTTCATTCAAAACGAATCGTGTGCATGCATTATTTGACATCCAATGTTATTCCGAGTTAGGTTAAAGGAATCCTTCGCGGAAAATTCTTGCATTCTTTCTTGACATGAATGTGTCAGTTGTGATCACTGGAAACAGCACACAAAGTTTCACGCATGAAGATTCGGTTTCCGAAGAGAAACAAACGTACAAAAACTACACTCTATGGACAATCGAAGGTAATTCGGGCGGAGCCAAAGGCGAGGCATGGAAAGAAGTTGGCCTTTGGCCGGCTACGTATCAGGCGACGCAATGAAAGAATCGGGTTAAAGCGCGCGATTTCGGAGAGTAGAGACAAATCGATCGATATAATAGGATGGAGTAGAAGTGTAAGATGTGCATGTAATAAAGCAGAAGGC